GGAGGAGGAGGAGGAGGGGGAGGGGGAGGAGGAGGAGAACAACAACAATACAACAACAACAATTTAACAACAACAACAACAATAACAACAAAAACAACACAACAATTAGAGGGAGTCGAAGAAGAGGAAAAGGAGAAAAGGAAGTGATCAAGACATGGAGGGGAAAATGCTAAATGAAAATGAAAATGAGGAAATATAAAGTGATACGAAAATTAAGAAAACAAAGAAACGGCAGTGGCAAATATATTTTTTTAAGGTGGTAAAAGAATACATTGTCCAGAATCCTATTCATCAATGTACCGGCATAGTTTACGTGTTTTAAAAGTCGTGATGTTATTTTTATTTTTTTATTTTAGGACTGGAACATTATTTTCTTAATGTTTACTCCTCAATCAACTTTTCCGCCTCTTGAGAATGTCCTAATAGCGAAGTGCTAAACTATCTTTACCACCTCGCCTGATAGCAATTTAGATTATATTCCCGATGGTATAATAATATTCTGTTCTAACAGAATTCATATTGTGAACGATTCAACAAAATAAGCGAAAGTCCATTGACCTGTGCATGTTACTGTATATTTTTCATGAGCTTTTTGAAGCCATTGAAAGTAATAAAGATAAAGTTAATTTGCCCAAAGCTCTGAACCGAGATGAAATAAATGGCATGGAGTAGAAAGGAATTACTTGCTGTGAGCTTGAATTTAGTATGTATTCAGACCTGGTTCTCGTCGATTTCCACGAGATACCGAAAGAATGTTTACAAATGGCGTCCGTGGTCAACTAGCAACACTGTGCTTAGGCCTATGTGAGACCATTTTAAATATCGAGTTGGCCCCGGTTTTCCACCGTTTTTGCACACTGGTTTCACAGCCTTTGTATCACGTTGAAGTAAACAACTGAGTACGTAATAAGCGTTATTTTAATTTTTTTTAAATGTGCTTATATAGATATCTAGATCTAGATTCTATTTGAGTTTAATAATGAATGCGTCTTCAAAGTCCATGACGGTGAAAGCGGTCTGATAGCTCAGTCGATGTATAACCATGCTAATAGTGCTGGGAAGATATGTCTAGATGTGGGGATGCCTCTTGTTTTTCCTTAGATTAGATACAAGTACAGTGTAAAAATTACAAAATTTTAATTAAAGCTAACTACACCCTCTGATTTCTGTTTTTACTCGTTCTTTATGCAAAAATGAATATAATTGTAGCTGAAGCTGAATGTTTGCCAAATATAGCATGCCTGAATAACAATTATGAAAACTGGCTTCAAGCCATCTGCACATGCAGCAGTACATGTAGATTAAAAGCTAGTGGCTTATGATTATATAACATACTTACATTACTTTTTACTTAAGTGTCTAAAGCTAAGCAGAATTGTTAAACTTGCCATCAATTAAAGTACTTTACACTTTACTTTATTATAACCTAAAAAACTAGGTCTTTATCTTTGGTGAAGAGTATTTCTTGAATCTTTTGTTTAGATAACAAGTTCAACTGAGGGTGCAAATTGAAGAGTAAACTCTCTTCTTGTTGATACAATGTCTTTACGTCGGAGCAATCTCCCTGCACTTCGTGCACCATATGATACAACCCATGAGTACAATGCAATATCAGTTGGAAGTCCAAGGGCTGTTCAAGAAATTGTGCCTGTACCTATAAGAAGTGACATACCTTCTCGTGTTGACAATTTGGAAGAAAGGATTTCAATGCAAGAGCGAAATACACAGGTATTCCATTCTACTTTAAAACATTGTCTCAAAATCTGTTTAGCTATACAAACCAGTTTTAACTATTGTTGGGGTTTTTGGGGGGAGTTTTTTGCTTGTTCTTTTTACAACTTTAAGATTTTGAAATACTGTTTTAAGTATATGAACATGAATTTACCATCTTAGCCCAGTGCAGATAAGAACATTGTGAATTTTCCTTAAGTGTTTTTGCTTGTGCCCTTGATTGCAACTAGAACAGATGTCACCAAACTGGCCCAGGGGCCAGATCCCCAAGAGATCAGTTTGTCAGGCATGCTGCCATGCCATCATGCTGGTAAAGAAACTTACAGCATGTATATTTGTCACATGCCTAAGCACTTGTTCACTATAATAGTTTACTCATTTTATTGAACTCTACCGCACAAACTAAATGTGCATTATAGACTTCATAACGTCTATTGTATAGTTTGTGAGATTCAGTTATATTTGCACTAGTTGTGACTTTACTGTCTTATTACAAGATCACTTGATTTGGTGAGAACATGTTTGTTTTCCTTATTCCTTGTGTAATTTGTATTTGTGTATTAATAAATCAATAGGTTGGTTTTCTTTATTTTTTCAGTGTGTATCGCACTGAACAAAATATCTTTAGTTTTCAAAGGTTGAACAGCGAAAATAAAATCAGAGGGGCTGGTTTAGGTGAGGTTTATGTAGGGAGGGAAGGGGGAAGGGTTCACAGAGAATTGTTCGGGTATCTAATGATCTATTCATGTCTCAGTGAATATGCTTCAGCAGTCTCACTAACTTTAATTTACATCAAAACAGTCTGCTTTCTGAAAAAGTCTGAACCAGTTACAGAAATATGACTTAAGTCTCAGTGTACTTCCCAAATCATTCAAGTTCTCCCCCCCCCCCCCCCCCCCCGCACTTATTGTCCCTGCTTTGTTTGTGTCCACCAAACCCACGTCTCCTTTTGCTCTCTGTCCCTGTGGATAAACCACACTGTGTCCTCTTTTGCACCAAGCTCATAATCATATACCAGTCAGATGAACCGCACTTCTGTAGTACGGTAATGTATCCCCTTTGACCAACTGATGTCTTCCGTGTTGATGGCAAGACCTATCACTTTAATTCTCAAAAGTTGACTATTGCTGCTAATGTGTTAAGAATCAAGTAAAAGAAGTCAAATGTTTCATCCTTGGAGATGAAAACATAGTCTCCGATACACAGACATTTGACATGTAACTTCTGTATAAATTTTGTCACATGATCTACATGTTAAATTTTCATTCTTATGAAAAGATGCAATATAGCTACATCTTTGTAGGATGAGTGCTTTTTTTTTTTTACAGGCCCTTATTGATCGAGCCTTCAAGATCAAGGAGGATGTTATTGACAGTCTCAATTTCACTCAAGGAACGTGGAATGAGGAGAAGCAAGCCAGAGGACTGCTTCAAGAACATATTCGTACTATCACTGCTGTTGTTAACAAACTTAATGGAGATATTGCGGTGAGCACGATACCCTAATTTTTTGTATTTATTTGGGTGAAACAATTATTAATCTATTGAGAACTTGTGTTTGTGAGATGTATGGAAAGATACCTAATTCACTCTCAGTATGCACAACACCCATATTCTTTCCTTGTTCACTTACTGACCATCAGGCCCTCTTGACATAAAATTGTTTATTATTGAATAAGTTGCTGGTTAGATAGGACAGAAGACGATATTCAGCATGTATTTGAAACCTGACTAAGTGCATATTATGACTAAGCATACAGTCTTATCTTCAGTGGATATAATCTACTTTGCTAATTAACTCATTATGAATACGTTGGACCCTGTCATGCATTCCTGTAAAGATGTTGAGGTCGTCATTGACTTTGGCTTTTTTTTAAACATGGTAAATATGTTCTTTGCAGTTATTATTCTGGGTTTTAAACTAGATAACCAAAAGAGAATTATGTGTACAATCCTAACTTTTATTGGTACTTTACACTGAGTATCTGAATTGAAATTGAAACTGCTTATTGTATGATACTTTTCTTATATATTAACTCTTCAGGCTCTTGAAAATTCCATAAAATCCAGAGACACAGCGCACGTTGGAACCAATAATGCAGTGAAAAATCTTGAAGTTCATCATGTCCAGTCCCTTACAGATCTGCGTGGTAGAATTGTCCGATGTGACAGTTCCATCTCTAAGTTAAGTTCTGATGTCAGGTCTTGCTTTGAATCCATTAAACAACTGTCTCACCAGCAGCAGGAGATTCAGTCAAGAGTAATGGATCGTATGCATGGCCTAGAGGCTCAGGTGAGACTTAAGTGTCTTATCTGTTTCAAATCTTTTGGGAAGTTAAGTTTATAGTAATTCATTTTCATAGATGCACCACAATACACGCACAAACATACTTTTACGTTTCTTTGATTTCACACACTTCTACCAAGCTTGATTTTTTAAAGGTCAGTTTTGAGTAATCATATCTAGGGTGTCTCTTAACATATATATGAAATATTAATGTGGCAGAATTTATTTTACTTTAAATTAGTGTACTACACAAGTGAGTAGTGCAGGGCTTTAACACGACAATTGGGTGATTACATTTTCAAGTTTCTTTTGGACGTCGCTGTGCTTCTGACTTGGATGCAGACACATGAACTTTACTGTGTCTATATTTGTTTTTGCATAGAAACATTGACATTTATGTGTATTTTCATGTCAACAGCAATACATTACACTAGTACTGATACAGACTGTCACAAAGACTCATATTTACTAATGCAAATATTTACATTGTAAATATGATTAGTGCAGTATGGACATATTGAATTAATGATGTCCACACCACGAAATAATCCTTACATTTGTTCTGTTAGTAAACAAGCTCATGTGAATGTTAAAATACACACGCTATAATTATGCATTCAATTCCTTTGCTTTTAGGTCAGTTAATTGCATTGTGATACTGCATTTCCACTCATTGCTTTTATTTCACTTTCAGCTTGTTACTTTAAACAGTAACATTGAGCGCAGTAATGGTGAAAGCAGAATGAAACTCTCACATCTGGAGGGTGATACCAACACCCAAATGTCAATGATTGATGCAAAAACAAAGCAACTTATTGATGAAGTGAGAGCAAGTGTGATTTCTGCACAATCATCGTTGGAAGCAGAACGAGAAAGATCTGAGCAAAGACTTTTGGCATTAATAGAAAAGGCTGAAGGGAATCTGGAATTGTCTTCTGTAAGTGTACACTCAAGACTTTGACTATTTAAGAATGGGTTATGGTGACTTATTTGAAATTTTCTTTTCTATCCAGCAGACAACTCAATGAATTATGAATATCACTCTTCCCTTCCCTTTTGGTGCTTTTGTTTCCGGCTAATTACCGATCGATGCAATCTTAAGATTGCGCTTCATGTTTTAGCGATCGTATAGCTGCGCAGGGGAAGGCCCAGAACAACATACTTGGGTAACCTAAACAAATGGGTAACAGGGAAAGATCCGGGAAACGTAGCTTTTTTGAGAGCACCATGATCGCCGATGTCTGTCACAGATCTGGCACTGGATGAATGAATGAATAGCTGTGCAGTAATCTTAAGATTGCGCTGCGCATTTTAACTATCATATAATTGAGCGTCAGTCTGAAGATTGCGTCAATATTTTTAATTTTTGAAATATATATTTTTTAAAATTCACTTCCATCTTTATTCTTTTACTCACATCTAGGAACATTCACATATATTTTCAAAAGTGTAAAAATATGAAAATTAAAGTTAAAATTGACATATGAAACAAAAGAGCTCACAAGTAAGATACAATTATATGATCGTTAAAATGCGCAGCGCAATCTTAAGATTGCCAAGCAATAATGTGATCGTTAAAATGCGCAGCACAATTTTAAGGTTGCTGTAGTGTCCTAGATACGGTTATCACACCAAGTACGGTATTAGTATTTAAAGTCGGTGTTACCTGCCTGTGTGTTATGCAATGTAGGTCAATTGTACAAAGAAAGTCTCAGAACACCGGTTCATGGATGTCGCATGTGTTTTTTCTTATTGTGCTGGTAAGTGACAATAATTGACAATTATCAAAATGACTTCAGCGGCAATTAGCCTGCCTTCCTTCGAACGTTTCGTCGTACATGGTGGTGAAGGTATCACAGGCACGAGGTGGCAGAAATGGCTCTCCCGGTTCAAGTTATATTGCTAACAGCAATTGGCGTCAGCGACGCCGCGAGAAAGAAAGCTTTACTACTGCATTACACTGGTGAAGAAGTTTTCGATAAATACGAAACATTCTCAGCTGCACAAAAAGGATCTGACACTGAAGCAGGATACAACATGCTCTGCCAGTCCTTCACAACGCATTTTGCCCCTCAGAAAAATATTGATTACGAAACATTCAAGTTCCGACAGGCGAGACAAGAAGCTGGCGAGAACATAGATTCTTTCTGCACCAGACTAAGAAAGCTAGCCGCCACATGCGATTTTCAAGACTCAGACAGAGAACTAAAATCTCAAATATTACAGGGCTGTACATCGCAACGCCTGCGCAGACGTGCTCTGCGAGATGACCTCGATTTACAAAACCTGCTCAAAGCAGCAAGGGCTCTCGAGATATCAGATGAACAAGCACAGGAAATTGAAGCGGATAGAAAGCCTGCCACTGTCTATAATATCAGCAAGCAGCACGCAGCAAAAGGGAAAGCTTCAAGATTCCCATCCGCCACACATCGCCTGTACCCCCCATCTCAGCCATCACATCGTCGCTATCAACAAACGCATGAGAACAGACCTTGTGGATGGTGCGGAGGATTACGACATCCTCGTGATAGATGTCCAGCAAAGGACAAGACCTGCAAGACGTGTTCTAAACTTGGTCATTTCTCTAAAGTTTGTAGATCAGGTAACAAACCTTCTACACACTGTCGACACAGCACAGCACACGTGAAACATGTCACCAGCAACCTAAATGAAAGCAGTGACACCTCAGAGGAAGACTACGTTTTCGGTGTCAAAACCAACCAGATGACTCCCCAAGTGAACTTAGATCTCTCAGGAGAGAGCATCCCTTTTCTAATTGACACTGGAGCATCTGTAAACATTCTAAATGAGCAATCCTACAAGAGCCTTAGCCATACACACAAGCTGACCCCCTCATCTACACGTCTCTTTGCATACGGCAGTAACAAACCACTGCAAGTCATTGGACAATTCGAGTCCACCTTAAAATACAAGAAATACCCCGTGCAAGCAACCTTCCATGTGGTTCGTTCACAAAAATCAATGAAATGTGGCAATCTTTTAAGTGCAAAAACAGCAGAAGACATGAAACTTGTAAATTTCGCATTCAGTGCGACAACCACACCTACTCATTCTGTAACAGTCTCTGCAGTGAATCCCCAGAGCTATTTAAAGGTCTCGGCAAATTAAAGGGCATCAAGGTCACACTGCATCAGGACCCGTCAGTCCAACCTGTCGC